TAAGAAAAAAGGGAAACTAAATACGATGGCTAATCAACCCCCTTGATTAGTGCCTCATCACTTCCCAATCATATTGGATAATTTTTTATTTTTTTATCCAATCAATTCAATTGATTGGTTTCTCTAATTCTATCCAAACGATACTGTTGTTTTGTAATTCAATACACGACAGTATTGAACTATATCAAATTGGATTAAACAAAAAGTTATTCGGCTTTATAAAAAATTGATGGATTTAGAAAATCACGTTTTACAAAGTGTCTTTGAAATTTAGTTTTGATTTATTAAAAACGAAAACAAACTTGATTTAGAAATCATATAATCAATAATAAAGGAAGACGGTAAAACTAATCTCAAAAACCTGATCATGTCTAATAATAAAAATTGGGTCCTAACTCATATAACTTAGGCTCTAATATCAAATGTAAGAAATTTCATAAAATATGATTATATAACATTAGAACACCAAAAGATTTAGGCTTACTTGTTGAAGACATGATTCTTGATTTCTTGAAGGCTTCTTGTTTCCTCTAATGCTCCTGCAATGGAAAGATCAATATCTTCTTCTGTAATTCACACTACTCCCTGATCACAACCGTCGATGGGGCGAGTTGTAGAATAACAGTTTTCTAACACGTTATGAATGTAGAGGGGACCTAGCCAAACTTATTAACCCTAGTCCCCTTCCCATTATGGGCCTATGGGTTAGGCCTACACTGTTATCCACACTAATCAGTTTACAAATATCCAAACCCAAACAAAAAGATCACTAATTAATTGGACTTTATACTGCACCCCCATATGGATCATGACTTAGTCCATTTTTATTAAAACAAGAAGAACTACAATTGATTGAAACCCACAATTATTATAAAAATTTCTAACAGCAAAATTAAAAAATTATAATGAAAAAGACTATTATAACCCTGAAATAAATTATAATTACAAAAATACTTTATTTTCGCCTCAAAATGACGTCGTTTTAGACTCAATGTAAATAAGAATTTATCCAGTCAATAAATTATAATCATATAAAGATGGATCAATAATGATAATGTTTAATGTGATGTATAAGGCCTGAGAGTATAATACTTAGGGGGTGTATTGGATTAGGATTTTAAAAGACATTTTAGAATTTGAGACACTTTAAAGATTTTTTAAAAGACTTTTTTTACAATCAAGATTTCATAATTAAGATTGGATTTTAAAGGATTTTAATAGAATTTAAAATATTTGAAAGGACAATATAGATTTATAAGATTTTAAAAAATCAAATGAATTTTTAACAAACATTCAAAATTACAAGAGTCAATACAAAAAGGCAAGGTATACTTACAACCTTTTTTTTTGGAAGTGGTATACTTACAACCTATTTTTGTTTATAACATTTCACAACTATATCTTAATCGTTGATTTCTGTCAATCATCGGTTATCATTCATTGCAAATTAAATATTAATTAATGAGTTTAATTTGCAAAAATAATAACCATTGATTGACGAAAATCAACTACTGAGATATGGTTGTAAAAGGTTGTAAACAAAAATAGATTGTAAGTATAATCTTCTTCATAAAAAATAACAAAGAAATGCAATGAAATTAATAAAAAAAAGTAAAATCTAATATAATTTTCTCAATCAGTAAACATAATATAATTTTTAACAAACATTCAAAATTACTAAATAACAACTTTTCACATATCTAATGGGTTGAAAATTATCTTCTTCACTTGGTATCAAAGCTATGCATATATGATTATAAGACCCAATTTTTTTAATTATAAAAATAATTCTAAATTTGCATATAGAACCTAAAGTTTTTGATAAAATTTTGTTTCGAACTTTTTGCAATTGATCTTGAAAACCTTGGGGTTTTTGAAAATTTCTAACCATATAAATCTTTGGGTTTAATTACATGAAAGTTTAGAAAATTCCTCAATTTTTTTTTCAATTGATGCATTGAAACCATTGTTGTCAAAAACAAGTGTAAAAACGTAAAAACTTACACGTAAAAACTTACGTTTTTACGTTTTTACTAGAGTGGCGCGTGTTAAAGATCAAGTAAAATTTGTCATTGGTAAAAATTGGTAGAAACACCGCGTAAGAACGGTAAAAATTTACGTTTTTACCATTTTGACCGTTTTTACTTAAAACTAAAAATTTAATAAAAAAAAAGATTTACAAAAAAATAAATAAAAAGACCTAATTTTTGTTTTTCCCAAATCATATTCATAGTATCTTAATATCTTTTTGTTTGGATATATGTTTTTTATAATTAGGTCTTATAAAGCTGCAATTCAATTATAAGTTGTGCTACGACCTACGAGAATCGTGTTGTGTTTTTGGATCATTGAGTGCATTGAAAGAAGTGGAATTATATCCTGATGAGCAAGGATCCAAAATCTGCAGAGTGTATAAAGCAGTTAGAGCAGATTGGTTATTCATTACTTGTTAATTATCACTGTTTATAATTTTGATACTTGGTTATGAAAAATAATTTTCCATTTTAGATAGATAAGTGACTCAACACACATGTTCATTATGTGATATATTTTTTTACATGCATATATATAATTTTGTATCTTGACCTTAAGTGGTAGAAAGTAGAAACTTTACGTTTTGTATCGTTTCTACGTTTTACGTTTCTACCACCTCTTTCCGTTTCTACGTAGAAACTCGAGTTTGACAACATTGATTGAAACCTTAAATTGCTTTGGGGCTTTTGAGAAACAAGCTTTTAGTTATCTATTGACACAAAAATTGTTTGAAATCATTTCCTATAATGAAGGAATTTTGTTCATGAATGTATTGTTACGAAATATAGGGTCCATATTATGAAAGTTTCAATTTTCTTTAAATTGATATTATTTCATTGATGTAAAACGAAAATTGGTTTGAGGGTTTTAGTTCCCCTGTTATTATTTCATTGTTTTATGTTGTTTTTAATACAAAAATCACACATTTTTGTGCCAAGAAAAACTGCGACCCATAGCTTGAAAAATTACTTTTTAAACTTCCAAAATTTCTCAAAAATGGCTAAAAAATATGTTATTTTTGAGATAGATTATATTAAAATCTCGTTGGTTTGTTGTTTCTGAGTTGTTTTGTGATGAAAATCGCTCAAAAATATGCTTTTCTTTTAGTTTTGACGAAGCTCCTATGGCGGAACCCAATTTCAAGAAGAAATCCCAGGGGTTGGGGTGAGATTGTGAGAGAGACATCCTATTTATATTTTTCACTAAAAAGTCTTATGAAATCCAATCCAATAGAAAATTCATTAAAATCGTCGAATTTTTGAATACCACGAGATTGTGATTCCATTGTTTAAAATCCTGATTGAATACCAACGGATTTGGACGGATTCTGAAATAATATTTTAAAATCCTAATCGAGTACCACATGACTTTTTTTCAATCCATTAAAATCTTAATCGAATACCAATGAATTTTTTTGTTCAAAACAATCCATTAAAATCCTTTGAAATCTCGATCCAATACTTCCCCTTGTACTATATATGTTGTGATATTTTCAGATGTTTAATACGACCGTCGTATAATACAAAATGATATATAGCTTAATCATGTCTAAGGAGATGAGAGAGGGGATGATGTATTAGGTAATTATTTACTTCCCCTTCTACCCCTTTCTTCTTCATCCCCTTCCTTCCCCCACTTTTTGTTCAAGCATTCCCTTCACCGGAGACACCACAGACCCACCTCCCTTTCCCTGAACCGTTCCATCTCTGTTGCTAGTGCCGGTACCGGCGAGGTGGTCAAACGTCAGAGCCACCAACAGAAGCGAACCTGCATATACTCGCCCTCAACGCACCTGGCTGCTCCTTCCGTTGCAGCCTCCACAAGAGCTTCCGATTGAAGATTGTGTATACGGACTATATGAAAATAATCTGGTTTAATTTAAAATTGTAAGAGAAAAGTTAAAATATAGTTATAAACATTTTGTAAAAAATATAAATTGTCTGTGTTATGAAAAGATCACCTAATCTATCAACATAAATTATAATAGTCATAATTTCGCCTCTTTTTTTGATACATTGCATAATTTCCCCTTTAAATTATACATATAGTATTAACTATTAAGAAATGTATATAAATATTGTTTTAAACAAAAAAAAAAATTAAGTCATTTAATATATCAAAATAAATATAATATTGCATATATTTGTATAAAAAATATAATGAGTTACATGTATATAAAGTTAAAAAGTATATATATATATATATATATATATATATATATATATTTTTTTTTTTTATAACAGAGGAAAGGTTAAAAGGTATATCTAAATATTATTAAAAACAAAAAAGTAAAGTAATGTTTAGATCAATTTATTTTACACTAATTTTTTAAAGCAAAGGTTGTCTTTCAAATATTTTGATTATAAACTTCATAATTTAAATATATACTAAATATTTATTTGTTAAATAAAAAAAATCGTAATTATAAAAACAAAAAAATCGTAATTTAACTAGGAAAGGAGGAATATGTCTCCCTCGCTTCCTTTGTTATAACCCCTTTCCCTGTCCAAAACATGGCACTATAGATTTTTCCAAGCATAATCTTTTTGTTACTCCTTACAATTTACCACGAGTTTCCAGTAACAGACACAAAACAAACTGTCCACACGCACACAAATATATACCTCCAACCTTATCATCTTGTATTATATGCATCATGGTACATATGTCCAAATCCTTAATTACATCAACTTCCTCGACAATTGGAATTTAATGTTACAAATGCGTGCTTTAATGCTCCTTCCTTTGTCCAAAGTTCACAACCTACTTCGTCATTGGAGTTATACCCTAATCAATCATGCATGCAAAAAAGTCATAAAAGAATCCATAAATGTCTTTTTTTCCAATTTGTCACTGTTATGCCAAGTATATATAACTAGCAGCAGCAACCATGGCCTTAACTGGAATTTAGAAGTGTGTAGCTAGATCAGCTATATAACTTTTTTGGTTCACAAGTTGGAAGTTCCTCAAGGAGTGTGCATCTGGGCGCTTCCTGTCTTCCTGCTGCCATATTCAATAGATGATCGATCACTGCTTGAGGTGGAAGGGTTTAGTCCATACTCACTTGTTGTTCCTCCGTACTCACTGCTTCCATTGCCGCTATCAAATGCTATTTTCCTGAACCTTTTCATGTCAGCACTATATGCGCCAGCAGCATATTCACCGCTTGTGGTGCCGAACTGTGCACTTTGGCCAGGTTTCACTCCATCTTGATTAAGGACATCTAGTGAGACATCACCCTCCAGTACTCTTACAATCTATAATTTAATTTGGGAGTGTTATTTTTTGTACGTGTTTTATCAAGAAGATAAGGTTCCATACTTTTATATATATATATATATATATATATATATATATATATATATATGATTATACCTGGCTCATTTTTGGGCGTCTCCTTGCTGAGTGCCTAACGCTAGCAGCAGCACAAGACACCATACGTGCCAATTCCTGCTTGTCATAATTGTCCTCTAAACGTGGATCAACCACTCCGTCAAAGGTTCCATTTTCCATTGCCTTCGTACAAAGTGGTCTAGCCTGTTCATGTATATATGAATTGAACAAGCAAACGTTATATCTTTTCATTATATATATATATGATTAACATTTCTCCAGCCACTTGAGATAAGTTTATCACTTTTTATAATGTTAAAGTTACTTTTTCTTCGACTTCACCTTAGCCTGACAGGTTCTAAAATGTGATTGAAGAAAGAAAAAAAGAATAAACAATTTTGACGTTAAATGTTATAATTATGTATTTCTGAAAATACATAATTAAACATGAGTGGTTGAAGATAAGTTTATCATAAATGGCTGGAGAAATATTTATATATATATATATATATATAAATATATATATGACAACATATAGATGGGAACAAATGGAATAATTAATTAGTATTAGAAAGGAAAATGATCCGTTTACAAAAAATTTTTTTACAAAATTTTGCAAATTACACTATTTCCGGAAGTACATAGTGTAACCTATTATACTTCTAGGAGTATATAGTATAGTTTGTAAGAATTTGTAAAAAAAAAAATTATAAATATAAGGCTTCCCTTCTCTTATAAACATTTATAACAAAGAAGAATGTTGGAACTGGGGAAATGTTAGTAAATTCAGAGTAATCTATATACCCAGTCAACCAAACTATCCTCTTCATAATCACCGGTGTTGGCCACTGGGGGTCGTCCTGTTATTAGCTCCAAAAGCATAATACCGAACGAGAAGACATCAGACTTATCAGTTAGCTTACCACTTGATGCATACTCAGGAGCCAAATACCTGAATAAATACACAAGTGATTAGACCAAATCGGCATTGCTTGATAATATATGTGTGTGTAAACAACGCGTGTAGTTTGGTTTGTTAGTTTTCTTACCCAAATGTTCCCATCACGCGAGTAGAAACATGAGTGTTGGTGTCTTGATTAAACTTTGCCAATCCAAAATCTGCCACCTGAATGGATAGAATTGTTAGATAACTTAACTAGAAGAGTGAAGGAGCCACAATTCTTAAATAATGTTTTTAGCTAATGAAAAATTCGATATACGTACTTTGGCTTCGAAGTTGTCTTCGAGTAGTATGTTTGCACCCTTTATGTCTCGGTGAATGATGCGAGGGTGACCTGGTTAATGTTTTAGATAAATTATTAATGCCGATTTCATTCTTAATCAACCAAAAAAAAAAAGATGTGCTATTGGCTATTTGTGAGAAGATAAGTAGATCACTTACAATCCTCATGCAAGTAAGCAAGTCCTTTGGCTGATCCAATTGCAATTTTGAGCCTGGTGCCCCAATCCATGACAGGTCGATCCTTTCCTGCAATTTTAATTTAGCAGATTTGTGTTATGTTTAAGGTTAAGACAAAAATTCAAGCAAAGGAATAATTTGTATACATATATATATAGTTTAAAAGAGCGCACCATGGAGGTGGTATTGAAGGGTTTTGTTAGGCACAAATTCATACACCAGAAGCTTTTTGCTGTCTGAAATGCAATACCCAACAAGTGACACAAGATAGCGATGATGGACACGGCTTATAATATCAACCTCTACTTGGAATTCTCTGTCTCCTTGGCCCCCAGTGGATTTGAGGCTCTTCACCGCTATCTCCTTCCCATTGGGTAGAACACCTTTGTGTACATATCCGAATCCACCTTGACCAAGTAGGTTGCGTTGGGAAAACCCACCAGTGGCAGCTGATAGCTCTTCAAACGTGAAGGAGCTCTGATTGAATCCAAGGGCCACCGTAGGGTGTGGGGGTGGCAACACCGGACCATGGGAGCCGGAGAAACTCGAGTTGCTCAAGTCACTACTCACCCGCTGAGGAGGTAGGGGTGGAGCAGCTGCATGTGCTCCCCAACCTGCACCTGGCGGTGGAGGAATATTAAGAACAAGTTCACCGTTATTGTACCCATACTGATTTGGAGCTGTTGTTTGGCGCTTAAAATAGTCATCATCTGCATGTAGCCATTTATCAAGCATTTAATTTGTAAGTCAATTATTTTCATCATTAACCATAATCTCAACTAGCTATACATATAGATGACATATACTTTCCCATGCTTTAAATATTAGATTATAGCTTTACAGAAGATTTATACTATAATTCAATTAATTCTTGTTATATGTTTGATTGTTAAGTGTATAAGAAAATTGGTGTAAGTTTAAACAAGTGTAAGAATTACGAAATTTTATATGTACAAAATAATAGTAATAATAATAATAATATATTTTCAAATTTCAATTGAAAAAATTAATTAGTGCGAGTAGCAGTATTTTTACAACATCTTACAATTTATTTTTTTACTATTTATTTTCATTAATCTAACAATTATAATTTATTAAAATTAATAATTAATTAATAAATGTGACATAATAAATTATAATGGTTAGATTAACGAAAATCAACAATGAATAAATAAATTATAAGACATTGTATGGAAAAATAATTTGTAAGAATAACACTCCTCAATTTATATAAAAGATGCTATTTATTATGTACCGCCAGCAGCTTGGTTAGCGAAGTAACGTATAGGAGGCTGTGATTTCTTCTTCCTTCTTGAACATGCAACGATGATTAGTATAATGACAAGGAGCAATAACCCAGCTCCAGCTGCAACTCCTATTATAGCGGACATGCTCATTCCGCTCCCACTGTCCTCAGGTGTATCAGAGTTACTTGACTGTGATGACCTTGGTGGAGACAATCGATGACGTGGCGGCGGAGGAGGAGAAAACACTTCTGACCGTGGCGGAGGTGGAGGTGGCGGCGGCGGCGGCGGGTGATTGGGTGGAGATGGGGAAGAGTCCGATGGCGGTGGTGGAGATGGGGAAGAGTCAGATGGCGGGGGTGGAGATTTCTGATCATCTGGTGGCGGCGGTGATGACGGAGGAGGTGACGACGGAGGTGGCGATGATGGAGGCGGAGATGAAGGCGGAGATGAAGGCGGCGGAGATGATGATGGTGGGGGAGATGGGGAGGACGGCGGTGGCGGCGATGAGGAACTATCGTCGGACGGTGGAGGTGGCGGTGATTGCGATGAAGATGAATCGGTTGGAGGTGGGGATTCGGAATCTGAATTTGAAGCCATTTGGATATTCTCTAACAAAAGCAATGGTTAAAGACCAGGAGAAACCTGACCCGCTCCCTCAAATAATGAATATTCTGATAAGAAACCTGCAATAAAAAAAGTATCCCCTGTGTGTTTTTTATTTTGAGCATATTCTTATATTAATTATCTTCTCTTCATCATATGGCGTTTTGAAAGAGAAGTTATAAGAAAGAAAGAGAAGCTTATGTTACCTGAGAGCAAAGGGCAGGAGGGTTCTCAAAGGAACGAGACGACCGTCATGAATATGCATGGTAGAAATCGTGTCTCGTTTCAAAGTCACCCTCCTACAAAGCAGCGGATTTTTCACTGCAACATTCCTATTTTTAAGTTTGTTATGGTTTTCTCTCTGTCACTATTTGCTAATATTAGCTTAAAAGAAAACTTACAATCTTAATAAATCGCCGCTGGCGTCTTAGGATTTTGTTTGTTAGAACGAATGCTATTTTGAGGGCAGGACGTGACTTGTGACACATTAACAGGTTCAAACTCGATTACAGTTGTTATGTAATTGTTGAACATATAGTGTGTGGATTTTTATTTTTATTTTCCTTCTAGAAGTATCAATGAGCTAATGTGTTAATATGTCAAACTAATATTAAAAAACAAAATATATATTTAAAACAAAACATGCATTGGTTCATTTTTACGAGTATAGCTTACAAGATGGGGCTGGAGCTTAAAAAAAACTAGCCAATTGGAGCTAAAATAAGTAAAACAAAGAAAATAGCAAAAACTGCCAACTTCATTTTCAGACTGAAAATTATTTTTGAATTGGATGGTCATTGGTCATAGACGCATCGCGCGCATTCAAGTTAAATAATTTATATATTTATTATAAAGGAAAATATTTCCTGGGAGTTTTAATTAAAAAAAATTGTAAATTCTTTGGACACAATCATCAGTATCACTAACTAAATGTTAAACTAAATGTTAAATTACTCGTTTTGTAAGCCACTAAAATTGGTCTAACGTGATCAAATAGTGAAGGATTTTGATAATTTACATGAGTTCATAAATTTAAAACTTAATGCCGCATTATATATACATGGGGGTTGAGTTTATGCTGTTGCTGGAAAACGCAACTCCTTCCCGCACATACGCTACAGTATGATATATTATATTTTTTATTTTACTTTTTTATTAAAAATGGACCCCACGTCAAAAGTTTAACTGCGGCAGTAGATGTGAACTTTCCTATTGCAGCAGAACTATAATACCTTATATATGAGATAGGATCCTTTGACATCAGTGTCAAATTTAAAGTTTGACACCTCATCTGAGAGCCGTTAGATCAAAAAAGATCAATAGTGTCACATATTTACAAATCAGAGTTGTTAATCTTTTTCGATCTAACAACTCTCAGATGAGGTGTCAAACTTCAAATTTGACACCGGTGTCAAAGAATCCTGCCCCATGTATATATATATATATATATATATATATATATGGAAAAATACTTTCTCCTTTAATAAGAGAATTGTTTTCTCATGTTAGTGAGAGATCGTTTTGCGTGCAATATTTTTTTATTTTTTATCTTTTGCTTATGGTGGGACCCATTTGAATTATGTGTGTAGAAATTTTTCTAATCTCATATCAAATGAGAAATGCAAAGCCCTATATATATATATATATATATATATATATATAAATTACTCAATTGCATGTGTGTTTCTCTAATGTTTCTACTTTGACTATTGTTTTTATACCATTGGATGATATCTAGGCCAACAACTTCTAAAAATACTAAATCAAAGAAAAGGAAGAAGAGAAAATAGCAAAATCTGATGTGTTTGGAGAAGCCATTGATTTAAATATTATATTTACTTTTTTATTCTATTCTACTTACTTCTTTTTATATTGTAAAAAAGTCATATTATTTATATAGTATATTTTATTTGGAAAAATAAAAAAATAACAATTTTATTATTATTTTCTTTCTGTCTTAAAAACTAGAACGATTGTAAAAATAATATTTTTATAATTATAGACGAAAAATTGTTATTCTCAAAAAAAAAAAAAAAAAAAAGACATCGCGAAATAATTAGGGTTGTAAATTGCTTTGGCTGGCCTACAGAAACTTACGTCAGACTTGACCTATTACAAATAGAGTGTTGTTAAACCCGACCTGGGCATCGATCCGGTAGGGGTACTGGGTCACTGGTCGGACCGGTTGACCCGGATAAAAATAGATATATAAAAATATATATAAATATGAACATATAAATTCAATATATTCTCCGTATCTAAAATGAATTAAACAAGGTTCACTAAATAAACTAAAAAACATGAAGCATAAATAAATAAAAGTGCATGTTATTACTATGTCAATTTAAATTGTAACTCAGAATCTCCATAAACATACCCCCCAATGACATTGAACTCATATTTTTCAAATTCAACTACATTAAAATGACATATGTCACATTCTCTAATTTATTATTCCACAAATTGCTTCAGTATTGAAATCTAAGGGGTTACTGTAGAAGAGTATACTAACAAATAAAATTACAAAAAAAAATTAAAATGAATTTTACATTTTTTTGATAAGATGAAACAGTTTTGGTTTTTTTTTTTGAAACGGTTATAATTTATCAGGAATTAATAAATGTGACATAATAAATATTATTAATTTTCAATAAATTATAACCGTTAGATTTACGGAAATCAACGGTGATTAAATTGATTGTAAGAGTTGTAAACTTTTTTAGTGGTAAGTGGATTTGTTCCCAAGAGAAATGTTATACTTACTACTTTTTTTCTTACTACTTGTTACTAATAAATCTCAACTGTTGATTTCCGTCAATCTAACGATTATAATTTATTAAAAATTAATAATTAATAATTAATTAATAAGTTATACCTAATATTTTTTAGAGGGAGAGATTATAGTCACTTCTTCTTTTTCTTATTACCTCTTACTACTAAATTTTAACCATTAATTTATGTCAATCTAACAGTTATAATTTATTAGGTCATACTTATTAATTAATTATTATTTTTCAAAAAAATTAATCGTTAATTATAATTAAGATTTGATGGTAAGATATAATAAAAAAAGGGAAATAATAGTCTCATGTTGTAGGAGACTACTATCTTATGTCATAGACACTTCGGTAAGTGTGCTGCTATTTTATTTTATTTTATTTTCTCTTTTTTAGTGGTGGGTCCCATCATTTTGTATCTTAGCATAAGACATACTCTCTCCTACAACATGAGAGTAGACAAACCCATAAAAAAATAGATACTAATTATAACCTCTCCTACCTATTTAAATGAAAATCTACCCGATTTACACCGCTAGGAGTAGCAGAGTTGAACAATAACGAAATTGAAGAGAAGAAGTAGGAAAGTTGAGGAAAGCGTGAGCGTGGCACACCGCAGCTCAGCGACTTTTGAGACTGAAAGCGGTTATTGTGTCTGTTGTTCACGCCACCAAACACTAATCTCTTTGAAAATTTAATCGTCCGTACGAATACGATGCCTTCCCGAAGAAGAACTCTCTTGAAGGTTATCATTCTCGGTGATAGCGGGTTCGTCTTTCTTCCTCTTCCTTTCTCTCTCAATTCCATTCTAGGGTTTATTCTTGCGACGATTGCACATGTTTTTTAATTGATTTCGTTTAATCCATTCCGTTTCTCCGAAGAAATTGCTGCTTCTCCCGAATCCTTTTCCCTGCTCAGCATCACAGATAAAACAAATGAACAGAAACGAGGGAAGAGAGAGTGTTTAAGTGTATTTTCCATGTTTGGATGGTTTATGTACATTGATTTTTCAAATTATCTTTCTTACATATATCGAAGGGCGAGATCACTGTTCATTTGGAACTAAGATCTACATTTTTACGGTCGAAGTGTGGCTTTATCTTCTTCTTTTTTTTGTTTAAATTTGGTTCGTTGTGCTTGCTGACCAATTGATCTATCTTACTATGTATGTTAGAAACAAAGCTACGGAGATTTCGATTTGGATATTTACAATCATGAGAAGTTAATTTATGGATTCTAGAGAGAGAAATTCTATCAGTGTATTTGACACTATCCTGTTGCTACTTTGCAGGGTGGGGAAGACATCTTTGATGTATCAGTATCCTTTGGCGCTTTTGTAGAAACCCCTTGTTTACACATTATTATTTTCAGCACTATATTTCCTATTATTCTCTACACTGTAGTTATGGTACAGGGTTATCTTTGGAGTATCTACAGACTAGGTATTTCCGTAACTTTGAATTTTAGATATGTGAATAAGAAGTTTAGTAATCAGTACAAGGCAACCATCGGAGCAGATTTTTTAACCAAAGAAATGCAATTTGAAGATAGGCTTTTTACCTTACAGGTTTGTGAATTGTGCTGGCCCGTGCTTAGCTTGTTTTTGTAATGCATGAAAGTGACTGCATGCTTGAGTCATAAGGCTGGCTGGGCAAGGTGTTGGGTGTTCGGTTGGGGATGATAGGAGAAGGCTTTCATTTGTTTGTTTCCTGGAAGACAATGCTGATTCTATCTTCTGTTTATAGGAAATAGCATCCATTGTCTAGTTTCAGACATTGGTAATGCAAATTATGAAATTCCATTGAACAGGGCCCCCATCCCTATTTCCCAATAAAAAAGAAGAAGATGGAAACAATGGGAAGAAAAACTGTTAGAGGAATTTGCTTCTTACTTGTAGCTAGAGGTGGCAAAGCGGGCTGCCCGCCCCGCCCCTGCCCGCCAAAAGCCCGCCAAAAAGCGGGCTGGCCCGCCCCGCCCCGCCATTGAAGGTGGGCTAGATATCTCTGCCCGCCCCACCCCGTTTGGGCGGGCGGGGCGGGCTGCCCGCCAAGCCCGTCACATTTTACACTAAAAATTAAAAAAAAAAAAAAAATCAGCCCGGGCGGGCTGGCGGGCAGCGGGTTTAGAAAACTCAGCCCGCCCCGCCCCATTTGGCGGGCGGGGCGGGCCGGCCCGGCGGGCTCGGCCCATTTTGCCAGCTCTACTTGTAGCCTTGATTGCTTTCTTTCTTTGTTGAAAGTTTTAAGTAACACGATGTTACAATAATCAAGGTTTGCTTGTCTTTTTCTTTATTATTTCTTTATAATTTGCAGATTTGGGATACAGCTGGCCAGGAAAGATTCCAAAGCCTAGGAGTTGCTTTCTATCGCGGTGCTGATTGCTGTGTTCTTGTGTATGATGTCAATTCAATGAAATCATTTGACAACCTTAACAATTGGAGGGATGAGTTTCTGATTCAGGCATGCCTTTGCTCCTCTCTGTTGATAAATTTCTTAATCTTTATCTGTTATCACAAACAATGTTGTAGTGGTTACTGATCACTTTGGCAGGCAAGTCCTTCAGATCCAGAGAATTTTCCTTTTGTTGTAATAGGAAACAAGATAGATATTGATGGCGGGAACAGTAGAGTGGTATGTTTTGACCTTTTCCCCCCTATATATTGACCTATTTTTTTATTTTTTTTCTTTTTCCCTCCAAAGCTCACATATATCAGATCCATTCAGACACATACTGCAGAACAGATGAAAACAAATAAGTTATTGTGTGCAGGTTTCGGAAAAGAAAGCTCGTGCTTGGTGTGCATCTAAAGGAAATATCCCATATTTTGAGACGTCAGCCAAGGATGGTATTAATGTCGAAGAAGCATTCCAGTGCATAGCAAAGAATGCCTTGAAAAGTGGGGAAGAGGAAGAACTGTAAGTTCTTAAACATGTGCATCTCTTTTTTCATGCATGTGAACAAGCCAAGGCCCAAATACAGAGTTAGATGCTCTCTGATTATAAGATGGTGTTAATATCTTGATATTGGTTGGGGGAGCATACTTTGGTCCTATCAGTTTTCTAGTTTACAATGTACAAATTGCGTTTTGAAATCAAAAAGGTCTATGGATGATTATTGTTTGCTTATGGAAACAAACCATTATCGACATTATAATAAAAAGATTGGCAGTGCAGACATCCCTTATTAGCTGCAACCAGATATTATTATAAATAGCATGTTTCTGTTTTTTATATTATTTGTTGGAATCATTTAGGTTGTCATTGAGAAGCATGCTAGAACCTTATATACTCTTTCAGTGTTCTGTAATACTTATAAATATGAAGAGTTCTAAATGACATAAATTTTCAATAACACTGGTCACTACTCTAATGACCCCTTTTGTCTCCTTATTTTGTTACTGTAATAACTAATTCATTATCTACAGTATACAACTGCTTTGAGAATTAGGGTTGATTATGTTAGTGTCTCTATAATTCAATATAATTGTATCCAGCCTGAGTATTGCTAATTGCTGTATGTTTCAAGTTTTGTTCATTTGAACATCTTTGCAGCATTATTTAATGGCTACCCTAGTGATTGTAGATCTTTTTGTTTATTGGCAATTGAAATATTGCATTTCGTTTAATTCTCCGTGTTGTAATTTATGTGTTGAAGTTACCTGCCGGACACAATTGATGTTGGAAACAGCAGTCAGCAGCGGTCAACGGGATGTGAGTGCTAAATATACTGCCTTTTCTCCTCAATACAGATAAAGTACATTACTTAAATATGATCTCTTCCTGCTTAGCCATTACTGTCTATGAAGCTTCATTGTAAATTACTGTTTGCTCAAGAATCTAAGTGGTCCCATGCTTGTTTGTTTTATGTGCTTTGTGTTCAGATTAGTTTCTTCTTGTATGGTATTTCTATATTGTCAAGGGTATGTAAAGATCATTCTAAAGTTTTTTGTTTCATTGCTTATTGTTCTTATCCCGCATATGCTAGAATTTTGTATGCTCAGTTTTTATTTTTTGCTTCAATGCTTTCAGCAGAAACTTTTGAGCAACCATGGTGGTTGCTTCAATGCATGAGTTTTAGATCTGCACTCAAACTCCTCTCTCACCCACTAAAATGTAAAAAACATACTGGAGTTCACAATTAATTCATTTATTTATAATAGCTGCTCATAGCAATACCAAGCCTCTGTCGTGTTAAACCATCAGATGGTATGTTATAAGATATATTTCAAGGTTGTGTGTGAGAGAGAAAGATAGTGAGTTGTCGGTGTAAAGATTTATCAATATGGGCGATTTTTTATGTTAATTACTGTATACCTGGCTGCGAGCGGTGTTGCATAATCCCACGGATTCAAATTATAAAGCCAAAATTTGCCTCGTATTGTACAGTGTTTGGGGCGGACCGAGCTAAATTTTATTTTATTTTATATATATAAAATAATATTTTTTAACAATAAGACGTTACTAGCATAAATAGTTAACCCTTTTCTAAAAAAATATTTATAACATTTAGTATTTCAATACTTGTAACTTTGAAATTTTATCTTCGTTTCTATTATAAAATATTGTTGATCCGTCATTACTCAGTGCGATCCTACAAATTATGAATCTGCATTATCTTGTAGCATGTTTGGCTGGGTTGTACACGGAGTTTAACCCTAAAAAGTAAAAACTAACATGATTGATAAATTTTCTTTGGGTATAAATTTTGCTAGCTGTACCATATAATCTAAATACATTTAGTCCGTTAGATAGCGAACCAGAATGGACGAAGTATATCGTCCAAGATTCGGACACCAAATAATGGACCACGCCATTCTTTCAACATTCGAAGCTCTCTGACTCTCTTTGATACTTTTTCGGGAGTTCTTGCAAGTTCCCCTCTTTGCCTTTCCCGGTAAATGACGTTAAAAAGACGGGTGCTGAAACCTTGTCCACATTACTTAAAAAGTACGATCTTAAGTAATATTGATTGACAAATTTTGTTTTTTAAAGTTCCAAATTTTGATCCTTTTTTTCTAGATGTTAAAGAAGTGAACATAGTTATATCAACGGTTTTCGTGGATAGAGGGTTTTTTTTTTGTTTTGCCATCAAAGAACAATTTTCTCATCCTGAATAAAACAAGAGATAACTTAAGACTAGAAGGCAATAACCAATGGGCACCAAAGGTACATACCTAACAAAGGAACAATAGAATAATTTTAATCTAATTACCAAAATTTAAAGTAATTATCTAGATTTGAGATTAATGCCTCTCCATAACCATAGGTTATCAAAATTGATAGACATAGCTTCTCCATAACATGGTTATCCAAATTGATAGAGATAGTAAAGCTTCCAACTCATTCCAAAATGAGCTAATCGTCTCACCTTGCCTTTGAAAATAAATTAAAAATCACAATCTACCTCATCCTACCTCCAAACCGCCCCACCTGCCCCACCAATCCATCTATTTATTGAAAATATAAAAAATTAAAATTTTATATTACTAAGAGAATAAAAGATATCACATGAAAATCAATGACGAATAAAAGGACTAATGTTTTATAAAAGAAATAAAAAAAAAAAAAAAAATCAACCCATCAAATAACTGGTTCAACCCATTTGACCAGCACTTGCTCAGGACAGGCTTCTCCTATTTTCACATCAAATTCTCCAATCAACAAAAGGAAATATCGTTCTTCGCTCTGTAGTGTAGCCACCAAAATTAGTAATGCCTTTACTGAAAGGCCATTTGTACCCAAAAAAAAAAAAAAGACCGAAAGGCCACGTGTAAGCAACGACTAGCTCTACTAATTTGTTGAAATATAAACAACCCGTTAAATACTCTGAATTTGCAACTGAAAAGCACGCACAAGAAAGAAATGAAAGGGGAAAAACAGTAGACATCCAGTGTAGAAAGTTATTATCTGGAGTATTGCCAGACAACCACATTCTTCAAAAAATAATTCCAATTTCAGTATGCACCTTCTCAAGAATGTAGCTGTGAATAGCACTTAACAACTCAAAAAATTTAAGAAAGCCATTAGCTCTACAAATTCAAATTCCAATATATGTATATTTCATCCTCTCATCTGCAGTTGCTCCTTATATCAGGGAAAAGATGACCTTGCAGTGCATGATTCTGGTCACTGAATTGCCAGTGATTGTCAATTTGTAGTTAGTCCTAAAAAGCGCTTTACCTTGAAAATATTGACTGGATCAAACACGGCCAAAGGTTAATGATACAAGAACCTACCCTTGACAAGAATTACTAATGGTTGGTTTGGATGAGTTGTTTATTTTTAAAGGACTATTTGTGTGAACATTTTTTAAAGGAACTTTTTTTAAAAAGTAGAAGCTAATACTGAACGTAATATTTGAGAACATATTTTGTTTGAACAACTTTTCCATGTTATAGAAAAAATTGTTTTTCCAACGCACAAAAGTTTAGCTGGAAAAAAAGCTCAACTTTTTTGTATGTGTTTCAATGTTTGTTTGAAAAGAAAAAAAACCTCACGCAAACACACTAAAACATAACAAAAGTACATTTTCTATAGACTTTTTTAAATTTTAAAGTGCTTTGCAGTGGTAAAATTGTTTCAAAGTAATGGTCACTATAAAGTTGCCATTGTAAAAGGGCAACCAAACAATTTCGGGCACAATGTAGAGAACACTACTTTTGTATAAATCATTTGGTATCCGGTCAGGCGGTCACTAACATGAGCCGACTAATCCGACATCCGTTTTAATTAAATTAACAGACATTTTAAATTATTTATTTATTTTTTTGATAAAAGTTCCATATATTTAACTTACTTTAGACTTTCTAATTCTTGCTCATTTGCTAAATTTCTTTTACATGTTCCTTTATGTCTTAAAATAACAGCCCTTGACTAAATTATTATAGATATATTCAACTGAGGCACCCTATGGACATACTACAATAACTTCAAGTACTAAAAAGTATACAAAAACAAAAATGCATACTCACATTGTCAAAGTGATGGCAGATGATCAGTAAGTATGAATACGCGAACTTTTCCTAATCTGTACTCCACATTATTTTGTCCCAACATAAGAAAGGCTTTCCTGGCTGGATGGCCGAACTGAACTTCCTGCTGCAGTTGTGGATGCTAACGAGCTGGGAAGAGTAGGAGCTATAGTACCCACAGGCCTAGAAAATGGTGGCCTTTGGGAATTCAAGATGATTTGAGGTCTTGGAACTGAGTTTGCAAAATTCATCGGAATTCTATTGATTGGTAAGGTCGGTGGTACACCTCTAGATGCGGAAGCTGGTAAACCGAGCCGGGATGCAATTATTAGAGCACGCTCATGGAAAAGCTTCTGCCGTGACTGGACCAAATGCTCTTTTACCCTCATCATCACGTTCTCCATATCATGGAAAAAGGCAAACTTTGTTTCCAACTTATGCAACTGCAAGTTGGTGGAATTTACCAACAAAGTCAAAGGAATAGAAAATACAAATACAATACAACAAGAACTTCCCCAGGCCACATGACATTACCTGCTTTTCTATCAACAAAGAAGCAAGTTCTCGGACTTCATCTTCTTCCTGATTTGCTAGAAGTTTTGCCTTTACTGCTGCCGCAGCAAGTGTGGAAACCGCAGCATGTTTCACTTTCTCTAAATTGTTATCATGTTTTGTCTTCTTACTATTGTCTTTCACTTTTGTGCCATTTTCTGTGTGGTCTTCACCTGCCACTGGATTAGGATTTCATTCATTTTTGTGAACTTCAATTGTATTATGACAAAAACTACTTAATTACTGAATTAGATCATATTGCTCTATTAAATCCCTTTTTACCCTTTCATGAAAAACAGCATTCCTTTTTTTTGTGTGTGTGTGTGTGTGTGTGAGAGAGAGAGAAAGAGACCTGTGCTACGCCCATTTTCAGCCCCAGAATTTGATTTAACAAGATGTAGAAGTTTAATCTTATCCAAGGGCACAGAAGAAGAAATCATATCTACATCCTTTTCTGTCCCAGTATGTTGGGATGAAATTGATGTAACTCGTGCCTGAGATTCGTCCTTTTCTGATGGCAAGGAATTAGAAACCAAATCAACATCCATTACTGAATCTGTTGTTTCCAGAGACTCAACAACTGGATTTCTAGATATCAGTTTTTGAGGCTTGCTCTTATCTGAGGGCATAGAATCAGACACCAAATCAGTAGCACCCTTTGGTGTCTCTACAGGTTGTGGATGCTCTTCTACAAGATTGGATTTAATTGACTGCTGAAACTTATTTTCTGAGGGAAGGGCGTCAGGCACATGTCCATCCTTTAGATCTTCTATTGGCTGGCAAGTTTCTTTAACCAAAGTTCCCTCTCCTAATTCCTCAGAGATAGGTGGAATTTTAGCCCTGGGTGTTGAACCATCTGAATCATGTACAGTACTTAGTTCTTGATCATTAGGTAACTTTGAATTGCTGGGATCATTACAATTATCAAGCACAACCTCCTCGTGATTAACCACTGCTTGCTCCTTTAAAGCAATTGGTTTTTCTGAGGCTTCGTCATCTGGAGAAGCCAGCTGTCTCTTAACTTCTAAAGAATTATCTTCAACTTTCCTATCATTGGGATCATTTGATAAAGCTTTATCATCTAACATGGATTTATCCTGTTTTGTATTTCTGTCATCCTGGTCTCCCTCCATTTTAGAATCCCTACTATCCATGCAGACACAACATTGAAACTCTCTCATCAACAACAATTGGACAAGTTATAGAATTGCCAAAAATGCATAATCTTCACATAATATGACATACCTCTCAGAACTAGTTGGTTCCTTATCAATTGGTGGATCTTCCAAAAGAAAGCAATGCCTTGATGAAAGCTCAGTGCTGGCAGAATTTACTAACATGGATTTTAGGGAGCTATGAGCTGAAGCAATAGCCACATCAGAACCTACCAAGTGTGCAAGGAAAACTGCCTGTAGAATAAAGAAACATGATGTTACTCCCCAAGAGGGAACACATGACTGAAAACACAGGAGACATTCACAGCATGACACAAGGAATGAAAGGAAAGAAACATTGTACATATTGAAGAAATAACTAAGATAATTTAAAAGCATAATAAACACTAGCAATTTTGTCATCTGTGAGCAATCTGCATGAGACAGTGCACAAATAAGAGAATCAGCTGTTCAAGGAGGGGTATAACAACTAGCCGTAACAGACTAGTTTAAGATTTGAATTCTGAAGAGAGGATATTGCCATCATTACTATGGTTAACAAGGATGCCTCCTTTAATCCTAATCAATACTAACACAACATTCAAAACCAGCACCAGCACCAGCACCAACTATAAGGTGTCTCAAATATCAATTTGAAATAAATTCATTTCAAATCATCCATTTAATCCTTTTTTATAAAAAAAAAAAAAAAAAAAAAACTCAGATACATGTTGCCATGCCACAAAAACACAAAAAATACAAGTGCTACTACTCGTGAACCCAAGCATTCTACTTACCAGTGCCATGACAGGATTACCCACGTCAGCAAATGAAGATGGGTTTTGGGGTCCAGGAGAATAACCAACAGCTGCAAATGCTTCCTCAAGAGCCTTCAGAACATAGTCTTTGTCTGTTTCCTGACCAAATTTTACTTTAACGCTATCTTCTGATTTAGAAGTTCCCTCAGAAGTTTTCTTATCACTAACATCTTCTAGCTTTGGAGTCTCCTGAATATCTTTCACTTGATTCACATCTTCAGCCTTAGAAGTTTCGTCATGTGCAGTCAGCACATGGCCTTCAATGCTATCACCAGTCTTATTTATAATCAATTCTGAAGCATTTTTCTCAACAGATGAGTCACTGTTAGTTGTAACTGGATCTGCAGTTTCTTTGCAACTGGCATCAACATCATCACCACAATCAACAAAGGCATCCTGAATTGGCATTTGGACAAAGTGTAATATGCATTGAGCTTTCGATTTTGTTGCAACATGTTCTGCAATTTCATTCCAATTTTCTTTATAAAGTTCCAGTGCTTCAAGGAGCAAGAGGGTCTCCTGATCAGTCCACTTTCCACCACTAACCCCTGGAACTTCAGCTGGCTCCATGAGTATAAAATCCAGAGAGGACATGCCAGAGCCAAATTTTCCATTACCAAAGCAATCGGTACATAGATCAAAATCTGCCTGTCAGACACATCATACAACTGATAAAATATACAAGGTGGAGAAGGAAATTACATAATCATCAACCACCCAAGTTTTCCAACAAGACGTGCAATAACCAGTAATTCAACAAATATTCAAATAGCTATCCAGCTTGTTGCCAATGTATGATAAACAGCCAGTGCAACAATAAAATCAATCAACACTAATAATGGCCATCAGCAAACAATAACCCTCTCTTGATGAATGCATCCGTGTAAATGTAAGTGGTATTTGACAAGGTCACTGGATTTTCTTTGCTATCAAAATTGATGGATCTTTAAAAAATTCACATCTGCTTATGCTTTTACCACACTAGAAAGATTTGATTCAATTCAGAAAATATTGTAAACTGATTAAAAGGGTAAACCCCAGTGCACACTGCACGACTTGTGAGGGTGTAAACTGAATCTTTTTTTTTTGGAGAATAAAATAAAAGTTCCTGAATAAGATTCCTAAAAGCAAAATGTGACAATAACTTAATTACACAATGATAACGGGAACTACAACTACACGCACCAATGTAAATAATCCTACAAACTTCATAAGATCATCTGGCTTAGGATAACACGTTTGAGTTGTAGACTAGTAATCAAAAAAATAAATATCTTGAAGATTAAGCAAAATTAGATATCTTCAACATATTACTAAATTGCACAATTCAACGAATTATCCAAATTATATGTAACAACCTGCTTCTGGCAATGGTAGCGTTTGCGAGAACAGTCAGCAGAACAAGAGTTGCAGTGGTACTCAACTCCCTCCTGTTTCACCCATTCTTCAGCAATTGTAGATTCTGGAAACAAACCAGAGTTCATAGCTGGAGTCAATAGGCTAGCCTTTGGAACACTAGGCTGGAATTGCATACTTTCAAAGCGGTACAATTTTTCAAGCAAGGAATTCTTTTCTGCTGTCCCATCATCATCGGCGCTGGCCACGGCAGAACCCGAAGAAGGGAACGGGTGGAAATTAATCAAACCCCAATAGTCCAGAAAATCCATTACCTCTTGCCTAGCATCCAAGTCTCCAACATTAAGCTCTGACAAATCTTTCAATTCAATCTGTACATTTGGGTTTGCATGAAACTTCTTCATAATATAATTCCGTATCTCCATGTATGCAGAAGGAGTCTTATTTTCAGTTTTGCCACTAAAGAAAGAAGTTAATGTATGTTTCTCAATTGGATGGATATCAGTCCATGAAAACCAACCTGAAATCAATTTCACAGATAAAATAGTTAATCCAGGAATAAATCTTTTGACCTTCAGATTAAAACTCAAATCTGCTTACTACAATCAAATATTGAATAACAGGAAAACCAACAGGCTAGAAATTTTAATCATCTTTTGATATTCAGGGGAGATCCAAGGAGATGCTTGGTTGCTAGCATTTGCCTAACGACATTTCTAATATGTTGTTGGACAATGGAAGCACTGTACTTACAACTAAAATATAAAAGCAAATGCAATTAGTGCTTCTACTGTTCCCTTCTCTATGTTTTTGCAGCATAATTTAATCCCAGCAATAAGGACGATGATTTACTCTGCTGTTTCTTCTTTTCAGACCTAAGAAGGTTCTGATAAAAAAATACAAATATTCTGTCTGGAGGCTCAAAGTTCTTCTTGATCTTCCTTGCAGTTATTCAAGTCAAAAGCTCAATATAAGGACTCCAACACCAAAAACCTTATCATTAAAGCACTGTCATTAAGGTGGGAAAAACAGTATGAAAAAGAATTCAACGGGGAACCTAAAAACTAGAGCAAGGTGTTAGTTTTTCAGCAATTATACTGCGAAATAACACTGGGTTAGCTTGACCTGATCAAATTTCAGACAAGACCACACAAAATCTGATGGTCCCACCACTCCCACATCAACCCTTTAATTCTGCTAATACTACTTTAAATTAGTAGAGCGCATAATTTGACAAACTGCAAATGGAAAAGCAAAACGTTGGTTGACAGTCTATCACACACTAGTTCAGACAAGTTAAGCTGAATCACTCGTTTGCGGAACGCCAAGCTAACGAAAAACAGATAAATCATTTATTTTCCGCTCAACATTGCAGCAAACCAATATAAGTAACTCCCGAATCTAAACACGAAATAATTAGGGTTTCAAAATGGACACAAAGGTCTCACCGCAATGAGTCGGAACCACGTGAGCATTGGAACCACGAGATCTAATAGCTTCAAATTGAGCTTCAATTGCAGCATCCAGAGCCTCCCACTTGCTCTCCTTGTTGTGTTCCTCCGCGAGCAGCACGGAGTCTCCACCGAAAGCTCCATTAGGCGGCGCACGTTCGGAGTATTTCACCGCCGCGGGGGCAGAAGCAGAAGAGCCGCCAGGCGCCGAAGACGATGTGGCGGCGGAATCGGAGAGGTTGGTAGGGATTTGACGAGCCCTAGTCAAGGGGCCATTGTGAATAGAAGAAGAGTGAGGTGGCAAAGCCTTGTCACGAGTAATGCGTTTGGAAGGTGCAGACGAAGAATTGGAGGCGTTGAGAGCGTTGGCCTTCCGCTTCTGATTGGCGGCACGGCGTCTGGAAGAAGCCGGCTCCGATGCCGGGGAATTGGCGGCGTTGGACGGTGGCAGAGCTGCGACGTCACGGCGTTTCTCGTCCATGGTTCAGTGGAAACGTGCTTTGCTTCCAAAGATAAAAGTCACTGCATCGCCAATTGCTACTTCCACAGGGTTACGCTTTTTGTTCTTCATCGCTATTGAAAGTGGAAAGTGAAAAGGAGAATAATAGTGTTTTATGCAAAGTGTGGCACTGGTCCATGCTACTATACTGCACCATTCTCCCTTATTGGTTCAGTGGACTAGCCATTCGCTACTATGTGTCTATGTCTATGGCATGCAGTATGGACGCAATCGATCCAATCATTTCCTAAATTTCATATAACGTGGAAAAAAATTTATTTTTCCTTTTTATAGATATTTATAAATTTCATATAACATCCAGGTCTCACTCATTTTAAGAGAAGGGACATTCTCACTACTAAAATTTTCTACTATTAATTTACTATCTATCTAATCATCATTAGATTAATATTTTCTCTCTCTTCAAAAACTTTTTAACATTCTTTCTCTGATCCAATGGTGATGTGATAGATAATAAGCTAGTAACAAGAATTTTTGGTAGTTAGAATATCTTCACTCAATATAAAATCTATAGATAACAAGTCAAATGAAAATTTACACATGAAAAAATTTATGACACGGGGAACTTTTTTAAAATAAAAATATTTTTAGTCCTATAATTAACACATATTTTGAATTTTATGTTTAAATAAAAATAGTTCCAATATGGTTTTTATAAATATAGTTACTTTAAATTTATTATTGTTTTCCTATTATTATATAATACTGCTTGTTAGAGTTATAATACAGTAAAATGTAAAATTAAATTAAAACTAAATGTTACATATAAGGATCGAAATTATTTTTTAATCACATAATAATATTTATTTTTAGTTTGATTTATATATTTTACAGTAATTGTATGCTAATCTATTAGTATTATATATGACAAAGAAAAAATAAGAATAGCTTTGAAAATGATTATATTTATAAGAATTAAATAAATATATATATTGGGGCCAAATTGAAAAGGAATATCATTTATATTTATATTAGTGTTTGTGTTGAAAATAGATTTCACTAATACAAATAAGGATACATTTAAGTAAGTTATTTTAAAAAATATTTTAAGAGAAAATGAATTTTATATTATTTTTTTAACTTATTATTCAAATTATTTTTTTGTCAATGTTTTTTTCTTAAAAAAAACTCCTAATTATCACATATGTTTGGCATATATTTTTATTAAAAAAATAGTTTTATTTAAAAAATAAACAAATGAGCCCTTAGAATAATGAAAAAAAAAATTATGTGATAAATAAGGAAAAATACATGATCGAGAAAATATGAATTTTAACATTTGAAAACAATTTATTTTATTATTGTGAGTGAAACTAATATGTGGCCTTGTGTGTTGAATCATTAAACAGTAGACAAATCGACATAAATCAAATATAATTTGCATATGTGTGTAATTTTATTTGTATGAAAAATACTCATTTTTCAAGTCACGTTTAGGTGACTGAAACATTTTACGCTGTTTTGAAAGTGATGAAATTGAAAGCTCACGACGAATGAGTGTGGTGTAAAGGATTAAAAAGGAAATTAAAATGAAAGAAAAGCCAAACTCAACAAAGTATTCGGATGAACTCGTGGATAGTAGCACAAATTGTTTTCTGATGACCAATTACTATCAGCAACATCATACATTTCTGATTTCACGTGCATGTGGTTGAAAACTACATTTTGGATTCCAAATTCAGTTAAAACAAGTCCAGTCAAAGATTCTTTAATTAAGAGGCCTTGCCCCAATTTCTTGCAACTGAAAAAGAAACAGTGCTGCATGGGTTAGTTTATTGTCAATTCTCGATAGTAATGGGCTATAGATTCCGCCTGTTGCCCTTTGAAACGTCGTTTTCCCACAAGTGATAATGACAATGGGTCAAATTATTAAAAGATTTCGTGGTCTTAAGAAGTGGTCGGTTTGCAAAGTTTATTCTTCTTGTAGCTCTTACACAATGTGCCAATGCCATTGTTCAGAAAGCGTGAAAAAATAGTTTTATTGACCATATTAAACCAGTTATCTAAAGATGACTGAAACTTGCTACTGATTCGCGGGGCTTGTCCCTGATGTTCAGCCCTCAAACATTAAATATAAATTATTTTGATATAATATAAAGTCAACAATGTGGATTTTGGGTATCAGACATGATTTTATTCATTTTGTTAATTTAAAATGGTTTGGATTAATTTTATGCAAATAGACTTTACATAAAAACCAAGATTTGGCCCTGATAAAATAAAAAACAAGATTTGGTGAAACCGAAGGATCCTCATGTAATTAAACAATGACCACGAATTCATGACAATAATAGAAAAATGCAAAATACTAACTGGGGCAATTAATAATATATAAACAAAACAATAAAGATATATAAAACAAGATTCGGTGAAATCAGCGGATCAAAGTTTTTATATATATAATTAGGAAATTGTTTATCTCATTTAACATGAGATAAACGTATTTTTTTTATACAATCACGTATAGAGAAAAGAGAATAGATGAGAAAAAAAACTATAAATTGGTCCCACCACTCAATATGTGAGTGTAGAAAAATAAGTTTATCTCATATTAAATAAGAAAATAATTTTCCATATAATTAAGGAAAAAATGTTTCTTTTTATATTGCAGAATTTTTTTCTCCTGTTATGCTCATGTAAAAATGAATGATCTCATTATAAAAAGAAGAGAAAAAAAAAGATTAATGAGACCCACTCAGTTTTATGTAAGTGTGCCCGATAAAAAATTTGTACCGCAAGAGCAGAAACATTAAATCCTATAATTAAACTCTCGAATGGAAGATTAGTCTCATTTTCCTCTAGTAGCGAAGCTCAATGCACCCGTTGTTACGATGAAGGGTAGCCTTTGGGCCGTACTCCGAGGACAAGGAGACCATAAGAGGTTGAATGAGAGACCTCCAGATTATACTAAAAATAAAATAATATAAGGATTAGGATAATTTTTCACTTGTGTAAATTACACTATAAATCTTAACCGTTAATCCACTTATTTTTAATGACTCTAAAATTTTAATTATGTGACTTATTGAATACAAGTGTATCAATAGCAAAAATGAGTGTGAGATTTATTATTTTTATATCGGTATAAGAATAATTTTTTCAATTAAATAAGATATCAGTTTTGTTATTTTAAAGGACATAAATTATGTTATTTTAGTCTAAACTACTATATTTTACTGTGAGAGATATAAAAATTATAATAAAAAAAGCAATATTTTTTTAATTTAAATATTAAATAAATAATATTTTTAACTAAAATAATTGTCCCATTAAACAAACAATTTTTTCCCATTAAACAATAATCACGGTGCCCCATTAACACGTGTAAGTTCTTAATAATAATTAAAAGGGATTAAAAGTTTCATGCTATTCTACTTCTAGCTACCCACATCACCGGAGGAAATGAATCAGTGGAAAAAAAGAAGAAAAGAATTTATGTAAAATATTCAAACCCATCATCACTTGGACCTGACGTACGGAATCCACTGTAGAGTATGAAGGAGTGAAGGGGTGTATGCGTTTGGGACTAGGTTCTGGTGTGGGAGTAAGAGCAGGTACAGTAATGTGCATGCAAGTGGTTGGTGGTAACTGGTTGTGAGAATGAATGACCAAGGGCTCTTTTTACGTGTAAAAAAAAAAATGTGATATATAATTAGTAAATTATTCAACAATACGCCATTTTGTGCCAAAGCTGTTGTTGCCTATGTAGACCGCACTCGTCATTTTGTACTACAACTCCGTAATTTCTTTTATTAAAAAGAAAAAAAAAATTTAACCAATATTTTTTTGTATAATTTCTTTTAAATTTAAATTTCTTTTTCTTTTAATATAGATGCACCTACATCCGATGGTGCCAAAATTGTCTCCACATGATGGAGATAAGTTGTGCGATCATAAAAATATTAAGTAAAATGGAAGTTTTGTCCTAGTGTGAGATGGTGGATTGGACTCGAAGTTGGGCCAAGTCATCTATCCAAAACAAATGTCAAAAATTTAATTCTAATAATCTGCTGCATCTTCCACTTCCCCCACTGAAAAAAAAAAAAAAAAAAACACCACGAAGGAAAGCGTCAAGCATTGTGACAATATTAAAAAAAAATACATTGTTTGTATTATGCCTATTCGGAGCCAGGGAAACAGTTTGTAAACAATAAATTTTTCTTTGTCTAATTCTCAAGCTTATAATTGAACTTTTTTGCAGTGTTGCTATGGAGGCCGAGCCAGGGAAATGGCTGGTACAGAAAACAAATTCTTGGACATTGCATTTGAAGATGGTCACAACGTCTCGAGTAATATTCAAGATATATATCCTTGTTTCACCCAAGTAGATTACACCGGGAAGCTTTTCTGTGTGCCTCTATGATCAAGAAAAATTTTCGTTTACTCTATGGCTATGAGTAATTGAGTATCATCAATCTACTAAAAATATTTTCACCAAATTTTTTTTATTAAAGATATAGCCATAGATATTTAAATATTATATATTATTCGATTAAATTTAGAATATTAATCAAGTTTATAGAATTTTGAGTGTATATGTAAATTTTTCATGATCAACAGTCAAGTATTTTTAATTTAGTGCTAAAGTGGCAAACCATGTGAATGTGACTCTCTTTTTTTCCAGTGACACTCAAATGGCCCATAAAAAGAAAAACTATATTACAAGGAAGTAAACGTGGGAGTGCTAAGTGCTAACTCTCATAGCAATAGCATCATTCAACCCTAAGCCCATGGGCCATGATCGTAGTTAATAATAATCTGCTAGACAAGGCAGATTTTTTGCCTGGAAACCCGAAACCCAGTAGGGTATTCCACCAAGGGACCCAATGGGCTTAAGTTGAGGCATTGTTTTGTTGGGACAGATTATATTTACAAACTTTTTTGTTTACAAACTATACTAAGTACGACCGGTCATACTTTAATCATGCGGTGTAGGACCGGTCGTATTTAGTGTAATTTGC